GAATCTAATGTGCTTGGATGACTGAACTTGCACTGCTCAGAGATCGCAACAGTGTGAACTGGGCCTTACACAGCACACAACATACAACATCATACACAACTGAATAGCAATCAGAATATAAGTGCACTTGCTGTCCATTAAATTGGGTTTCCTACTCCTCGGCTGTCTGCAGAGCCAGATTAAGTTCCCATGGGGCCCTAGGCAGATTACCAGTTTGGGGCCCCCATGCAATAACACTGAGCACTGACCATTTACATTAACACTGAGTGCTGACAATTTGCATTAGTACTGAGTGCTGACCATTTGCATTAACACTGAGCACTTACAATTATCATTACCACTGAGCATTGGCTATTTGCATTACCTCTGAGCACTGACCATTTGCATTAGCACTGAGCGCTGACTATTTGCATTATCACTGTGATGTAACCCCCCTAGAAGCCACCCCCAACCAACTAACCAACTTAAAAAAAAGACCTCCTAACTTCAGGGAAAAAGGCCCCTCTTAACTGCAAAAAAAGGCCCTACTAACTGCAAAATTAAAAAAAATAGACCTCCTAACTTCAACAAAAAAAATCCTAACTTGTTCTTACCTCGGTCCTCAGGCAGCAGCAGGCTCTGCACAAGCAAGCTCAGACCACACCAGAAAGTGAGAGAAGGAGGGGAGTCGAAAGTGGGGTGCACATTCCGTACAGGTGCACTGCGGGCCCAGGACTAGTCAGCTGCTAAGCAGGACAGGCAGCGGCAGCAAAAACACCCGGTGGGCCGGATAAATGTCCTCGGTGGGCCGCATGTGGCCCGCGGGCCATAGTTTGAGGACCCCTGTTCTTAGGCGGTTGAGACCGCTGGTTTAGACTAGACTACACAGACTAGGAAGAAGGAATAGGTGACCCACTTCTGAGGAATAGCCCACTGAAAACCTTATGAACAACAGCAGACATTGTCAGAAGTAGAGGCTCTGTCGAAAAAGAGGGAGCCCCTCAGGAAACATCAGGCTGGAACCCGAAGATGGTACAAGATCAGACGGTGTTTTATTCTGCTATATACGGGATCTCTATGAGTCAGAACCGACTCGACGGCAGCTAACATTAATCACTATGTCACTAGCCAATGAGTGTTGTTCTGTGAATTTTATGTTCTCCCTTCTCATTTTGGGGGTCACCTTGGGATACAGTTCACTTATTTATTATGTTTACTGATTATTTCATAAACGGAAAGGGATCTTTGTCTTGCTCACAGATGCTCACCGTGTAGAACTCCTGGAAGGGGGCAGGCGCTCAACAGACTTGTGGCACTGAGGAATCTGCTTCAGTCTCCCATAGGAAGTGGTTTCCAAGCGGGGACCAAAGCTCCCTCCGAGCGGATTCAGCACTGGCACCCTTTGGACAGCTCTGGACACCAAATCCGCCAGGAACCGTTCCTCCAGGACCCAGGTTCCCGCCGGCGCCGCTTTGCCGACGCTCCTGCCACTCAGAGGGCGGGAGCTACTTTGAGGGGACG